GGAAAAGTAAAGTTCAATACAAAAAAAAGATTTCACAAGGATTTCTTGTTAACTTTGTTTAAAAAATTATGTTTTGTTATATATTGTTATATTATATTCATAATGAGTTTAAAAAGATTATGCTGTGCCGTGTTACATATTTCTGACGAAAAGTCGTTATGGACCATTTTGGTGAAATAAGCAAAAAAGTTGAAGCTTTTAAATCTAAATTCTAAACTAAATTATTATATGCATAATAATAACATTAGAAAAAAAGAAATAATATTCAATATTAATGGGTTGTTTTGATATCTATTTTATCTGCGTCCCTTTATATTATTTACTCTTTTAAAAAAATACTTGGGCTCATAAAACGACGTTTTGAAAAATGAAAGTGAAATGTAGTAGATGTTGCTTATAACAATAAGCTAAGCATACATAGCCTCCAAAATTAGATTTTATTGTCAATGTTAGTTTCGATAAAAATCGCGAATTTTTGGATACATACTTCAAAACATATATCAACTCTCTTATTTATACGAGAGCTTTTGCGTGTGCAGTGCAATATAAATAAACTGCATAAAATCAACATTTATAATGAACACGTGGCAAAACTCAAACGGCAAAAGAGCATTTGAAGAGATGCATATTTTGACACTTTTATTGTGATATGTTTCGAAACCGTAACTCAAAAGCGTGATTGAGATTCTAAAAGAAGTTTATGTTTGAAATTTGCCAAATCGTACGTTAATTATTTATGGCAAGAAAAACACCGGCCAGAGATACAAATAAGTAAGTTTTTCATTCAATAACAAATCAAGCAAAAAGCTCTGAGCGTGGTCTTGTTTAATTTATGGAAGTATTAAATATAATGAAGTTAATTAATATAAAGAAACGCAATCAAGAATATCCCGCATTTTCACTAGTTCTTTTTTTAATACAAGACGTTTTTAATTGATTTCATCGATTCTATCATAGGTTCGACAAATATATAATAGAATGAGTATTCAAACACGGTGTTATTTAACATAACGATTTAATGATGCATCCTATATATTCGGTCAGTATTTATATATTCAACATAATACTAGTGTTTCTGAGATATTTGAAAATGAATATCAAGATTTCTGAGTAGGGTAGTAGGACTTGAAGGTCCACGGGTAAAAAAGTTCACCGCCCATATCTCAAAAACGTACGTATCGTTTAACAACAATATTTGAAAGTAGAGGAAAAAAAGTATATAACCAGCTATCACCTAATCGGGAGATAAACAGCAATGTTTGAAAATCCATAACAAAAGTATATTCTTACGTTTTTTTGGTTGTGAGTACTGTTGTTTAGTTTAAGAGATATAATAGAATTTTTAAGTATTCCTTATTTAATTTTTTCATGACATGTATAATTAATTAGATTCAACAGTTTCTTTTATACAATCTCTATAAAAACCCGCATCTGGGTGGGGTAGAAAAGACCAAATAAACATTTACCCTAGTAAAAGTGTAAATAATAATAATAGTAAATAAAAATGTAAATTATGATAAAAAAGCAATTTTACAAGAGATAAAATAAATAGTTATTCCAACACTGCTGATATATATATTTCTGACAACAAAACAAGGTTATTGACAGTGTAATCTCTGTAAAAAATGTACCCATGAAATGTATCATATGCATTGGTTGAATAATGAAGCTATTATTTCGTTAAATCCCTTTAAAATTAAAAATAATACATTGAACCTGTTTGCCCCCTGTCTGTCCCATGTCCCATTTTACCTCACCTACGGGGCAAAAAGGACCAAGTAATTGATTTTTGAAAAAAAAAATCTGTTTCCGAAAAACAGAAAAAAACATATTACTACGATGAGAAATTAGCTGAAAGTTTGACTGGACATAGTACCTTATTTTCATTTTTAAATTAGATTCAACAGTTTTTTATTATAACCCCTATAAAAGCTTACATGTGAGGTAAACAATAAGAAAATAGTAAATAGAAAACGAAATCGAGTTAAAAAAAAAGGATTAAAATTTTGTAAATAAATCAGTGCGGAATTCTCACTACTTTTTTTGGTGGTTTCAAAAAAGATTGATGCAAATAGAATGAAAGAATGACAAGGAAAATTAAATAGGCTATCTTATGTACATACCAACGTGGCAGTCAAATTAACAAAACATCACCCCGATAAACGTTAACAGTCACGCTAGCCCTACATAAGATAACCAGGAAGCTAGCATGCTTTTCCTAAAGTTTCATAACGGCTATTTCTTATAGCAAAAGTGTAAAAAAATATGTATAACAAAGACCAAGCGCTGAAATTTATACAATAATAATAATAATCATCTACCCCTTAGCTGAGTTGGAAAATTCACCCACCAAAGCATATTTCGCACTTTTCAATAAATGTCGTTATTATTCGATAGCGTGCGATTTTGGCCACAAATGATAATTTACTGTCAAATATATCCTGCGCTATAAATTTGTCGAAGACATATATATTCCATGAAGCCAGTCTCTGAATATATATTTTTTGATTTGAGAAATATTTATATCCGTATTATAAAATGCATTATATATTATGTATTCCTGCTAACTAAATATAGATAGCTAAGCTCAAACAAATGTATGTTGTATTTGAAGTAGAAGCAGCACTGGCTACTCCTATTATTGCCATTTACATGTCATATGTAATTTAAAATTTAACTATATTATCTTTAAATTTATTAGATGTCGACTAAAGACAGTTGTAAATTATATGGTAAAATAATAAAAATATAAATAGCTATATCGAAGAAACAAGAAATGAGTCATATAATATAGTTATACAATAAAGTACATATTGTATCATGTAGTAAAGAGTCAAATGATCATAAAAAGCCCATAAGTGTACAGTTTAAATAAACAGAACATCGTGTTTTATTGAAGACGACAGCTAAATATAAGATTCATAAGACTATACACAAATTCTTTTAAATTTTTTGTATAATTTTTTTTATTTACATTTGTGAATTACAATCTGTCGTTATAAACAACATTCAGTAATTTAAATGGTTTATTAAATAAGGAAAAAGGTCGAAAGGTCAACCACTGGTGATCCTATTCGATATTGTATATGTTTAGCTTATAGATGTAGCCCTGATGTGAAAAAAATTGTACATATTACAGGATTACTAAAGGATATTACTAAAGGATATCCATGGATATGCCATGGTTTTTGTATAAATAAAAAATATTTTACAGTTTTGAAAAATGCATAATGAATTTTAATATATTGTTAAATAAAGTATAAAGATTCAAGAAATCTGAATAATTCATTGATTGCAATAAGCATTTAGATTATAAAATAATTTTTATTTCAAAACCAACAAACAAAAAATTTTTGCGCAAATTATTAAAAAAATTGCATTTGTCAACTCTCCAATAAATCTGCGATTCTACAATGTTTTTTTTAAGAATCTTATGGTTGTTTGCAGTGATTTTTATCATCGTCTACATTACTATATGATTTCAGGATGGCACCGATAGGAGCAAGATACTGCTTTATGGTAATGCCAAAATCGACACGGTTTGAATGTAATTTATGTTCCAAATCTATTTATAAGAAAAGTTCTCTACAAATAAAAGTCTATTGCAAATTTCTTGATCATATTGCATTTGAGGATAATTACATTTGTTTCAAAGCTGAATAGGATAATATCGAAGCGACCTAGATATGGAAGTTATGCACGTGAGGATTGCAATGTCAAACATGGGATTATGAGATTGGTAATATTATCCCTGGTTCTTAGGTTCCACAATAGTTCCAGAGAGTTTAGCTATCACATAACATAATTAATATACACATTTCATTCAAATGACTATTGAAAAATAAAAGGAATAAAAACTAATGTTAATTTTTTCTCATGTATATGTATCTCAAATAACACATCGTTTATAATTCAAATTTCTTTGTGTAAAGTGTCCGCATGAGTAATATATCGTAAAAAAAATATATAGTTTGAGGTGGTTTATAAGAAACATTGTAAAAACTGAATATGATATTGACCGCACACAAGCACGTTTCAATTTATATTCAAATTTACATTAATGTTAGTTTTTAATATAGAATTTGAAAAAAAATCAAATAAAACTTACAAATTATGAATAAACCACGTGCGTTATTCTAATTAATCATAAGTATTCAAAAATATTATAAATTAAAGAATTATTAAACTATAAATTTCAATAATTTTTCAAAAATAATTTTGTTTTTTAATTCAACTTAAGTTATTTTAAAATCATGTATGAAATAGTTCATTTTATATTTTACAAACAGAATTTTCAGCTCATGTTTGAATATATCTGTCATCCTAGTGAGATGGTTAAGTCAATTTTCACTATTTTGCAAAGCTTGATTTTTCGAAATTCGATTACTCGTGTAATATCGCGGATTGATATTAATGGTTTGAATTTTTTATAAAGTGCTTCATTAACTTTTGTTCCTAACCAATAGTTTTTCAATTTAATAACTATTTTCTGAGTAATAGTTAAATACCGCGATTTAAAACATTTTTGCCGAAATTCGACTTAGCCATTTATTTACTGGTATGGCAGATATACAAAATAACTTTCAAACGCCCATATAAACCCAGATTGGAATTATTTCCCAAAGCTGAGAAAACTCATATTAACTACTCATGTATTAATTTGTGTTCGTGAAATTAATACAAATGTGTTGAGTAGTGTAATATTATTTGTAAATGTATAATTTGCCAGAATTAACTAGTCAGAATGGAAACATTGAAATTGTAAATATATAAATAAAAACAACATAGCAAATTTGAAGCAAAAAAAACTATTAGAAAATTAACGTTTTTGTTATTCTATCAAAGCTCAATTTTGTGCAGTAGCCTTATACATGGTGCGCTATTTTTTAAAAACAATGTCGCCTAAATGGCTACCTGTACAAACGAGCCCGATGCTTCCAATTTAAATGGCTCACCCTGTAGTAAATCATAATCTAACTGATACATATTATTTTATTTACCTTGAGCACATGTCCTCGTATGCAATTTGGCCGCCAAAGTTCTCAGAGAATCCATATTTTCATTTTGCTTCAGCAAAAATTCAGACATTCTTCCAAGCAGAATGGATGTTGTAGCGTCAGCTGGACTCGTTGTACTTGTCATCATTCTGACCACGCGGGTCTAACATAAAAATATTTTGCATTACATTTAATAATGGATATATTTATATCAATTTCTTAAGTAAAAGTAAAAAATGGTTCAAATTATTATAACTATATGAAATAATATCTAGAACTACATGTAATATGCATTACCTACTCTCACTAAAGTAATCGCCAAGTGTACGCGAATCTCTGAATATTGACTTCATCAACTGTAAATTTTTATTTAATTCAAATATTCGCTAATAACACAAAAACCAATATTTTTCAAATCCCATTGATAGGAATTTCTATTGAGACATGCTAATTAATATTTGGCTTAAGGTGGGTCTAGCTGTTTTGGATATACAGAGCAAAGAGTGCAGAAAATAGAAATTAAGTTTTTGAGAGAACGAAGCATCCGATTTGAATGATTCAAATAACAATACACCTGTAATAAGGTAATGAAAAACTTAAAAATTTCTGCCAAGGCAGATTCAGCAGTCTCGATAATCGATAAAAAAGTGACTTGGCGATCAAAAATGATCCTTAGACATATGCACATATAATTAACAGATATTTTATAAGGATTGTAATAATAAGTACCAATTTTGTTTTCATTTCTATGAGTTCTGTATCAAGATTTATAAAGGTAACTTATATAGTGCAATCTAATGTCCTCGTCATTTTCGATAGTATGGATCAACCGACCTGACTGGGTTTGATCTTTAAGAAAATTTCAAATTTTTTTCAAAAAATTATAACTTAAAATTTTTAAAATATTCAAAATGATAATAATTTAATATAATTTTCAATTTTTTGAAAAAAGAAAAAAAAATTAAAGTTCAAGTTTTTAAAAAATGATCTAAAAACTCAAGATTTAAAAAAAAAAACCTTTTAAAGTTTCAGCAATTTGCCTTAAAGCACGATGCCATATACCACCAGCTATATAATTTATTTAATTAATTTATTAATTTATTATTTAATTCATTTATTATATGTTTATATGTTTTTTATTATTTTTAGTTAGCTTATAATTAATTTTAAAATATAAAAATTTTGTTTAACAAATCTATAAGTATTTTTAATATCATAATTCTACATGCCTCGCAATCATGACTCTAGTGGGGCCCTTTTAGAATAATTTTCATTCAAGATTTATATTGAACACATACATATATTTATATCTATTTTGTTAATTAAATAAACGCTAATTAACTTTCCTTCAATATAATTATGTTATTACCTTTCCTTCCATCCAAAAAAAATGAAAAAATACGTTTTTCAGCCTGTTACTGTTGTGTTTTCCCATAACGAAGAGAAACAAAACTAGTGGGGTGTATAGCATCGTGCCTTAAGACAAATTGCTGGAACATCCCGTACCGTAACGAAATGTTCGAGGAATACTGAATGTTTTCAAATAGATTATTATTAATATTGTAACATTGTCTAATATTTATAAAAATTATATAAACTGAATTGCAAAGTTGAAATTATTTGTTTAAAGTATATTAGAACTATAGTCAAAATTAAAAATAAAATCTTAATTATTTTCGATATACAACAATTTTTTTTTTGAAAAAAAAAAAAAGTTGAAACAAATTTTTTTTCCAAAATCAATTATTTTGTTAAGACAAGCAGAAAGTTTTTTGAATCATTTAAATCGGACGCTTAGTTCTCTCAAAAACTGCCATTTTTTACATATTTAGCTCCGTATCTTCGAAATGGCTGGGCCTGCCTTTGCCAAAAACTAATAAACACTTCTCCCAATCATTACTAATTGAATGTTTTTTAGATCATTCAAATCGGATACTCCGTTCTCTCAAAAGTCGTTTTCTATTTTCTGCACTCGTTGCTCCGTATCTCCGAAACGGCTGGACCTGCCTTCGCCAAAAACTAATCAGCTCTTCTCCTTATCAATAGGAATCGAATGTTTGTTGAAACATTCAAATCGGTTGATCCGTGCGCCCGAAAACGTGACTGGAAATTTGTATCCATACATACATACATACATACACACACACACAAACATCCATTTTTTCTGAGGTATGCCAAAATTTTCAGAAGCCTTCAAAACGTCGAGAAATGTAAAAAATTTCAATTTCGATTTTCGGCCCATTACAATAACTTGCCCTACGGGAAGTTCAAGAAATCTTCAGCTAAATTCTATATAATATTCTGCAAGGCAGCATGAAGCCAATTTTTAAATCAGAGTTTAGAAAAATAATAAGATGTTCGATTTATGGGTATTTGGTTTAACGGTTTTCAGAAATTACTTCATTTTCATTTTATTTTAATTTACCATGTATAAATGCTTTAAAGTTACCTTCAAGAAACGATTAACAAGGTGGTTCTTATTTATTATTTTATACAAATATTAATTATTTAACTTTTTAACACGTTCTAGGTAAAGAACATATTATAAGTTCAATATTTTTAAATTATTGTATCTTTTATCCATCAAAAATAATTAATAAGTATATAGCCAAAAGATGTTACAAAACTCTTGGAAACACTCCAAAACATGTTTAATCATTGTCGTAACATTGACACTTTTAATAGCATCAAAATATCCTCCATTATAATGATATCTCACAAATTTACGGTGTGGTAAAATATTGTTTTGAATAAAAATAAATATGTATTTCAAAATGTGTGAAATAACTTTTTTTTAAATAAATATTTTAAAAAAATAATTCAGTATTTTTGTATTGCTTTTGTTTGGGAATATTTATTTAAACATGTGAAATAACTTTTTCAAAAAATGAATATTCAAAAAAAATATTAAGAATTTTTTTATTGCTTTTCTTTAGGAATATTTATTTAAAAATGTGTGAAATTACTTTTTCAAAAAATAAATAATTAAGAAATTTTTTATTGTTTTCAACAGTAACTGTTGAGTTCATAAAAATAGTTTATTTAATCTAAAATATTTATCATAAAATTCATAGCGTATAATAATGATTTATTTCAGCATCATAATTTATGTTATTAACTATTTTAATAATTAATATATTAATTAGCATTTAAATATAAATATGTCTTATAGGTGTCTTACAAGTAATACCTTAGTCTTTTTCTTCTTAGATTTTATAACCATTTCCGATTTTAAATAAGTCCTTTTAACGATAGTGAGGAATAATCTAAAATATGTTACAGTATATAAGTTTATTTAATTCTATTTATCATAATTATTTAATTTAATAAAGATATTATTAAAAATAAAATGCATAAGTAACAAGTAAGTGAGATTTTTAATACAGAACTTTTACCATACAGAATTTATTTAGATACCATTAGTATTTTCTAATAACAACTAATTGGATTTGAAGCTTGTAAAAAATTTGATTACAAAACAATTTAATTCAGCATGAATATTTGATAGAAATTACTACAATTGTTCACCGTACAATTTTTCATTAATTTTTAACTTTATTTTTAATTTAATTAAATTCTATACAAAATTTAAGAATCAGATACCACAAGTGTTTTATAATTGAAATACCAACAACTAATTGGAATTAGAACGTCAAAAAAAATTTTTCATTACAAAACATTATTTCATTTCATTAAATTTCATTACAATTTACTACAATAGTTTATGCAGTTTTTCATTAATGAAAAATAAGAAACATAGTAAGCAAACTCAGGCTCGATTTTCATTTCAATTAAAAAACAAGATCATCTTAACACAAACTACTTACTATAAAAACTCCCTCTTCGAAACCGACCGAAATATTTGAAAATACGCCGAAAGGCACTAAATAATTAACACTAGAGCTTTAAATAATTCATCTTTCCTAATAATATTGTAAATAATTTATATGACAATTAATTTATGAATATTTACTACAGCCTTACAGGCACAAACTGTCACCTAATTTGCATTAGAGTTAAACTAAAATCATTTTCGCACAGCTGATCGTCTGTCATATGTTCCCGTTTTGCCGCACACTGGATCTAAAATAGAACACTGCTTAACGACTCGAAAACTATCGATTTTTTAATGCATATTGCAAATATGTACGACATGTTCACCCGGCATTTATGACACAACTTAATTGTACTAATGTTAATTAATGACATGTCGAAACTATTGCAATAATTCACAATAACTTCTTGAGTTAATGTTAAAACTAACTGTCAAAAGTGACATTTCTTAACTGTCAAAGTGTTTGAAGTTCGTGCGAGAGATGGCGCACGAATATGTATCAGTATCGCCAACATGAGCGTTACCGATATGTCAAATGAACTAACCTAAAAATAAAGAATGATTTTTATGTAACCTATAAACAATATGAGTGCAGTTTCTTAATTATTTACCCTTAATATCCATAGAACCTTAAAGTTATTAACAAACTTAAACAACTTAAACAACAAACCATAATGTTGTTTAGAACAGTAACAAATTTATTAAAAGCTCCCTTAAGTTACACAATTAACAATGCTAGCCTTATACAAAAATCATCCTTTCATACAAGTTGTATTTTAAATAGAAGAGGTGATCGTAATGAAATGCTTTCATCTCTGCCAGTAAAAGATGAAGGAACTGCTGGAGAAAAGGGTGTTCATATTGATACTCTTATAACAGAGTGAGTAATATTTGTGAAAAATATGTGTCTGTATAGTTTCTTTAACTTCAATCGTTTCAGGAAAGCAAAACTGTTTCCTGACGCTACGACTGCTAAAACTCTTTTTAATGGAGTTCCCTTTGATCAGATTGAAATCTGTAATATTAGGACTACACCTAACAATACTGTAATGAGTATTACGAACGCTAAAGGTATGTAATGCTGTTGTTTTTTATTAGCTAATGACAAATGGCATTATTTTGTAGATTTAGTGATTGTTAAATCATGTATAAATATTGTATTTTATCCTGCTTCAATTTAGAGTACAGAATACTCTAATTTGTCAAGACACTGAATTTCATTAACTGATATTTACTTTTATGGATCCAATATTGTTACAACAAATTGTGCAAGGAAACAATTTTAGAAAATATAGCACAAAGATGCACAATATTAGAATTATAATAGAAGATTAAACATCGATGTTCTTTAATTTTAAACTGACCATGAGCTCAGAATAATAATGGGTTGTATTTATTACATTGCTTGTTCATATATTGTTTAAACAATAATTAAACATGAAATAACTAATCATGCTGAGCAATCAGTACTTTTTGTGTATGCTTATTGATAGGTTTGTATTTTTCTGCATTTGCATGTTATATTTGATGCAGTTGCCTTTATATTTTAGTTCTAGATAACATATTAAATCTTTTATGTGTAATTTTAAAAATTCATCACTTTCATTTGTTATCCCAAGTTCTATTTAATAATTTAAAATTTAAACTATATATCATAAGCATTTTATATGGTGATTTTTCAATAAAATGCAATAATTCGAAATGTTCTGAAGTAGCTACTACATTTGTCCCATAACTATTGTTAGTGATAACATTGACTGGGAAATTCAAAACTTCTATTCTATTGGCTTCTATCATTATAAAATTTGTATGTGGTGTTATAATGATTTATATATTTATATATATATAATTATTGATTTTTATGAGATGACGTTTATCCTTTCAAGGTTTTCTGAAATAATTGTTTAATATGTTAGCTTTGCAAATTTACTTTACTGTTGTTTTGATGATGTTTATTAAAATATTATATGAATGATGTGCCTTTGGATTTACCTCAAGCATTGATGACTTTATTTCAAATGAAATAGTTATTACTGTGTATTTGTTATGAAAATCTTACTTACATTGAAATATATTTTAATTGTATAATTTATTTATTGAATCTTATAAAAATAATTATTATATATACGTAAAAGCCAATTAGGATATTATTTTGCATGAATAATTCATTATTATTTATTTTGACTTTATATTCATAGCCTTATGTATGCTTTATAACTCTACTTCTTTTAGTATTTTTAAGTCATCTAATTGGGTGTGTTTAAGCATGAAATTTGCATTTACCAAAAATTATTTGTAATTCACTAACTATTTAAAAAAAATCTAGAATTAAATACATTAGTATGTGGTTTTATTTAATACTTGATGAACGTGAACTAGCTAATAAAATTTTATGTTTATCTTCTATATAACAAAACTAACATTTTCAATTATCAAAATATTTTATATTATACTAACCTACCATTGGAATGTGTTGTTTTCAGTGCATATTAGTTTCCTTACGTAAGGGAAGTGAACACATATTTTAAATATACGTATAGCATACATGCAATGGAAACTATAAATAGTTAAATTTTATGCAATCGATTATTACATCATGCATTCTTGCTTTGTATAGTGGTTCAGTTTTTTCATTGAGTGAATCAAATGACTCCATTGTCAGTGTGTCATTATTATCCAATGATTCTGCCATTTCATCTAAATCTTTGATGTCTTCAGCATTTGCTATCATATTCGGTAAATCATATATAGCCATTCCTGTAATTTTATTCATATGTATATAACATATATATATATGTACACATTAAATACTTTTGTTAATAAAAGCTTTATGACCACAATGAAGTGAATCTCTTTTACTATAAGAGAGCAGTATGATTTTATGCTGTAATGTAGTTTTTTGTTTATAATGGAAATTTGAGGCACTATTTTGAAAATCGAAAGTCGAAATTTTAATAAAATACTAAAGAAGTGCAGTATATTGTATTGATAGTGATTTTTTTTAAATATAAGTATATAAATAAAGTATTAATAAAAATATATTAACAAAGGTTTTGATAACTTTATTAAAGTAATTTTATTTATATTTTGATGTTTTGAGTTAGTAATATATGTGGCAATGCATGTTAATATAAATTTTTAATTAATAATTTGTCAGAAATAATTTTAACTAATATTTTACCTAAGCTATATTTGCTAAATGTTTTAAGTTGTTCCTGCAATGCTTCGTACGTAAATAATTTGTTGCTATCGCTTCCCAAAGCTTCTAGATGAGAACATAGTGATTTATGATAAATTCTCATTAAGTTTTCATAATGTTGATCTCGAAGATATTTATCAGTACAACAAAACAACATATATGTTATGTCCGTTACTGGGCTACTATATCTGGTGATTTGCCAATCCAACAATATTAATGAACTGGGTTTTCCATTCTGAAAAAATATATATATATTTTAAATTTCAATCTTATTCACAACATGAGCACTGCAATTTCCTTTTTTTTTTTGGGAATTTCGAACCTTGCTTGCATAACACATAAATATAAATTCGAGCGAATCTAGTAATAATCACATAGGTTGGGAGATGTTATTAAAAAAGATTTTTATCACTATTTTGGATATTTTCGAGGCCTAGCCATACATTTTTTACCGAAGGTAAAATTCCGGGGTATATTTATTTTTTCCCGAAGAAGTCTTTAAATAATATATGCTTCAAACTGTCTTTCAAACTTTTTAAGCTTTGAATGTTATATTAGAGGCCAGCAAAAATTTGGTTAGTGGAGATATAATAACTAACTTTCATAATATTTCAATTTACTTTATTAATATAATTAATAATTTTAAAATGAGTAAGTGCTAAGATGTAGATACGATTAATTATTATCGATTGTATTATGAACGAAAATGGATAAAAAGCGCAAAATCAATCATTGAAATCCTGTCAATTATTTTTTATTTATTTACGTGTTTGTAATTACTTACAAAGCCGGATTGAGCAGCCAGTTGTAAATAATTATGACATACATATTTTTATTTATAGTTCTTTTGGTTTGTATTGTAAGTTACGCTAATCGTTACTTATTAGTGAACGTTGTGTACTTTGTAGTATTATTAGCAAGCTAATTGTTTGCGAAATGCATGTTATGTGAATATTTCTATTGTCAATTACATTACTCTTGAAATGATGAATGTGGAAGCAGTATATGTTTATCTATATAACATTATATAGGTTAACTAACAAACTAAGGTTTTAGACGAATGCAATTTTAGACTATAGTAGATATTTACATTAATGCTTGCGTATAATTATTGCTTCGACGAAATTTGTTTATCTCAGAAATATTATAGTAATAGGAAGATGCAGAACTAATTAACCTTACCCGTCCTATAAGCTTATAACCTAATGTTTTATGAGAGGCAAACCATCGGTTCACCATTCTCTCATGTGTGGCGTTTTTATATTAGCTCCTACGTCCAATAGTTATCATTTGATCGAATGTTGCAGCTATGCCTGCGAAAGGCGATTTCCACTTGAAATTATATAGAGATCTATAATCTCAAGTGGAAATTTGACATCAAAGCTGCCTGATGTCGGGCTTTGGTCGTGGCGAGAATCGAACCAGTGAACCCGGGACTAATTGGCGCTAGCCCACGTTCGAACAGATTTTGCCATTGCTGAGTCCAAATGTTGAATAACTCAACATTTTTCGACTTTTTGTTATTGCATTGTACGATTAACGGTCCTATATATATGTTCGGTAATCAACGATTCGAAGCTAATACTCAAATAAGTTGAGAAAATTAATGTTGGAAAATGGTGCCGCCTCATATTAGTAATATTCTTCGTCAGCGTACAAACATTTTAATACCCGTTTCAGATTTATGTATCTGCATATCTCGTAACGATTGATCGGTGTTAATGATGGTAAAATATCATAGATCCTGTAAATTCTACTGCAAACTCTGCTTTCACTTTTCTGTGCAATATGCGATTACTAAGAGGCCGCGGTTAGCCATAAAATAATTTCGAATCAAATTAAAAACATAACATCCGTTATTCATTTGCAAGGACAAGGCGCTTGCGTCACATAAATTATATTATTCCATCGAATCTATTATTTATGGAAAATACGCTGTATGATGATTGATAATCTGCTTGATGTAGTTGTTTTCGTTCGAAATTACACGTGCCGGACTCTGACTAACTGGTCAGCTGGTTGTTTCATGGAATGATCGTTACCATCAAACGGGTTTAGTCGAAAAAGAAATATTGGGAATTTCAATAAATATTTTTAATTAATAACAAAATGGTATGGAATAGAAGCCATTTGTCTTTCGAATTTAGCAATTATTTTGTATTGAGTAATTAAGTTATTCTAATGACCAGAGTTATGGAACATATATTTTAAAAAAATACTTCTTTATAAAGTTACCAATAAAATATGCATTCAAATTATATTGCACTTTCTAACTCAAATGCTCTATTGTTGCGTTATATAAATTTTTATTAAGCCGTATTGATTACTTGAGTTTTTCTCTTAACTTAAAAATATATAGTTGGTAAACTTTGATGTAGAATATATGCCAATAGGCAAACCTACCACATTAGTATTCAAAATTTTGTCAAAAAGTGAAACTAAACATTGATCTGACATCATGTTTTAGCTTGGACTTCTATGAACCACAAAAATATAGAGATATGTTTTTCGTGAAAATAGCAAGATAAAAAAAACAGTTACACATAAAAATCGATTAAATTTATCGTGCATATTGTGTGCAATATTAATATTAGTAATACTAGATTCCCTACACCTTACATTGCATCTTATGATCGTACATCTTCACTTTGCATTCGTTTATTGTCGATAATATGTTTATAGTAATTGTTGTTGACGAGATTATATACTTCATTATCTTACAAAATCTAAAGGATCTTTGATTTCTATTAACATATTGTAATTGTATTTGATGTACTAAAATTTTTCTTTAACTCTATATTTTTGCACTTGTTACCAAAATTTGAAGTTTTTTGAAACTAAGTTCTTCTCAAAATTTATAATTAATTTCATTCCAAAGAATTGTTGGAAATAAATATGCCAGATCAAAAAAATGTTAGCTATTTTTACTCGCATAATTGAAGGGCCTGTATCAGATATAAAAATATGATGTTCAAGAATTCTGTATAAATGTAAAATAAGTAAATATTAAATAATTTATATCAAACATCTAATGGACAAATGGACTTGAATGACGCGCTACTAAATTGACGCTTGCATCTAAATGCATTATAAATTTAGTTGAGTAAAGTAACAAATCCTTTAGATTTTCGCATCCTGGAAACTAACTCTTAATAACCTCATCTTATCTTCAATCGACCCTTAATAACTACTATATCCTATATTCAATCAACCTTTAATAACCGCATTCTATCTCTAATAGACCTTTAATATCTACAGCTATTTTCAATCAACCCTTAACAACTCACGTAAAAATTGAAAGGGGTAGTTACCTCAATGAATTTTACCAATAATAACAGGTTCGGTTTACCAGAAAAGCGTCTTATATAGACAAATCTTTAAACAAACTAACCTGGTTGTACATTTCCGAAAATTGCACAAGCAATATAATATGTAAGCATTGAAGCAAATTATCTATTTCATGAGTTACCTACATATTCAGCTATGACTCACGAACAAAATGATACATAAGTAAAAGCGAGCAATTGCTCTAGATTTGATAAATATTTGTATTAATGTGTCGATAGCTTTAGATTAGATCACAAGTGTCAATGAACATTTATTACTATAAGTTATTTACTTTCGTTTTTGACATCGTCGATCCACGTGCGTTTATTTAGAGATATTATAGAGACCTTACTACACTGGTGCGTGCGATCACAATTATATTTTAATTCGATTTTGTCAAGGGTCATCGATTTGATATTTTAGGAATTTATTTTATAGATCGTTGGTATCTGGAATGTACAGATATAAATTAGATACTTTGTATATTTTGTAACCTATAAATTTTAAAATTAATTATTAATTGCTTTCATCTATTGCGCATATATCATATCACATCATTAATGAATATAAATATTTAAATGTTTTCTTTATATATATATATATATATATATATATATATTTATTTATTTGTGTGTCACGTCTTCTTTCCCGAATCTGAAACCATTTGATCGACTTAATTTGAAATTAAGTCTAATTTCTAAGTCTATTTCTTTGTCTAATTTGATTATAAGTATTAGCTCCAGAAAATCAAATCAGTTTTTTCCCGAAAATGTATAGTTCCCGAAAAATTAAAGATATTGAATGTTGATATTTTCAAGCTTTTTTTTAAAGATTTGCGATGACAAACTTTTTATGGTTTGTATATATGGAAAAGTTTTTGCATAACATACATACCACTTAAATGTAGATTTAATATTTGTTTTTAGAATATATATATATTTAGAATACAGCATAATGCAAACAATGTATTAAGGCAATTTTCATGCACTCTATACCCGAATAGTTAGTATATTATATTAGAGAAAAACGCGTTTATATTACTAATTATTCATTGTTAAGATAGAAAAATGTTCTATTCATCCGTCTTCATTCTAATTTAAAGTAGTGCACATTTGGAACGAGACATTTGAGATTCATTTTTAAGTTCCAGTTTCATACCCTTTATTTTCTATAAATATTTGGTATGTGTAATAAGCGTAAATAATATATTATTTCATGATATAACCAGACGTCGATCATATTCATGCACTTCAAATTTAAAACCGTTTAACATATCTTAATTTTTGGTATATAATAACTAAAACATTATTATGCCATATTAAATAATTCTGTTTATGAAATTTACCTCATATTTAAACATCATGTTATTAGTCCAACAATCACCGTGACACACCACTGCATAAGGTTCAGCAAGGGATGCTTTTACGCCATCGAACATAATTTTCATAAAATGTTTTTTAAATTCTTGCATTTTATCTCGTGCTCCAATTTCATTATCATCTAAAGTGTCAATGGCTTTATCAATAAATAAATTAAAGTAGGGTATTAAATCCGTGAAATATTCCTCATTGCTAAAAACGACGTCTTCTAAATTGCTAAATTTCTTAAACAATTCTGGTTTTTGATCCTTCAGAGCAAAAGATATAGCATGAAATTTTCCTAGTTGTTGCATTGCTAATACGGCATGATCCAAATCTAAAGGCTTGTTTCTGTCCCACATTTGATAACCTTTTGTAGTAATATCTTCCATTAGTATGCACTCTTTACCTTTTTCTGTAGAAATTCTGTAACACTTCATATCAGAAATGAATCTGTCATCAGAAGATATATTTTGTTGCTTTTGAATTTTTGTCATTTCGGGTAGTACAGATTCGTAGGTCAGTTTCTCTCTAGCGAAGCAGTCCTCGACTTGATATTTTTCCCGCCTTATTTCATTTTCAGGGGCTAGCTTTGCTATCAGGGACAATTTGACGGTGGCTCCTTTAAAGTTTAATCCTGTGACAATGACTCTATAAATCAGTCCTATATAATTGTCACCTTTCTTAGAACCTGGTTCTATGTAATATTCCCATTTTTTTAGACCCAACTCTTGTGTGGTTTCCTCTATTAATTTTACAACGTGCTTAGGTAGCATTTTGGTTGTTGAACATAAGCAGTTATTTATAAAAGAAATTGATAATTAAAATGTTTAAACTAAAAATACCGTTTATCTGGTGTCGGTTATTGGTATCGACTTGAGCGCACGTTGCGAGGAAAACTAAACACGTTTTCGTCGTGCAATTGCGTGTTCTTGCGTAATATCATTATTGCCTTGTAGTAAGCGAGCGGCTTAGAGTGGGGTTACGTCGAACTCTAGGAAATGGAGAGGCGCTAGGAAAGACGTTTTTATGATACCGACCGAGTGAAATCAGCTTGTTTTATGTAATTCGCGCAGTAATTCATTTCCTTGGATATATTGCATGGCCTAATTTTCACAATTTTGCTTCGTCTTAATTTTTGCGCACATACAACGTATTTATTGTAGAATATTAGCATAATAAATTAGAACAGTGTCAGTTCGTTTATGGAATTAGCTTAATAATATGTACATTTTTATTAGAACGATTATTTTATTTTAGTTATGTAGATATTTTGACTATGCACAGGTATGCTTTATTATTCGAAGCACATTATGGTCCACGTTTACTCTAAAAATTCTGAACCGGTGAAAATGAAAACCGTTCGGATGACAACAGTTGCAAATCATTCTGAAGATTAGCTTGGACGATTCTTCATAACTAATTGTTGAAGCTTTTTATGGTGATGGAGTTCATAGTCATAACGAACAACCTCAAATATTATGGGCTTATGAAAAGTGGTTGCATGATAAAAATTCATGATTTTCTGGAATACTGGTTCGTGTCCAAATTTCATAATTGTATCGTGACAAGTTTTTGAATCTCAGTTATTATTGATTAAGTCGATTTACACTTACAACTAGGGTTTAATTATATCTTCAAATTAATTTCTACAAACTTTGTCACATGTTTATGTAAAAATTATCCTTCTAATATTTAATAATCTTTTCTATTTACGTTACTCCATAATCCGAAATTATAGAATTAATTATAATATCATTAACATAATTTTTGTAAAATAAGTGCAAAGTTGATTTTTAAATATTTTGGAGTATTTTTAAATAATCTAATCTTTCCGTGTTCTTATCTTTTAATAATATTCTTTTTTACATTTTTATTCAGCGAAAATTAATACAATAATTATATGGATTACATGATTAAAGAATTCCTTCTTGTAATATAATTTATTAATTTATCAGATAATTATAGATAATATTTTATAATCTAATGAGAACATTTCTTATTTCTTTTAAATATTTATTTATTTATCTTTTATCAATAATGGAAAACTCACTATGATTTCCAATTATTAGTTCATATGAACTAATGAATAATAAATTACTAATAATTCATTCATCTCTAATTTCTGAACATATCAAAAAGTCTGGTAGTTAAGCATTTACTTCTACAAAAAGGTTTTGATATCGCGGTTTGTGTTCGAACAAGTAGGAACCAAACAAGTCGCAAAATTTTGATTTATTTCAAAATTTTGAAACACATTGTTGTTTTTCTACACATCATACTTTCATATGCAACTATATTCAAAATTCACTGTAAATAACGAATTTTGCGTTTGTATTTCTATTTACAACTTTTGACTGTTTTTTTCTTAGATCGATGCAATTATTTGTACAATGTTAAAAATAATTGGCGCTTTGAACGAAAATTTCGTCGAAATTCTGAATTAATGAACATCGGTTTATCAACTGGCAAAAAATCATGGGTTAAGACGAAGGAATTTCGAACGTATTAGAACTAAAGCAGAGGGGTCTATCAGTAAACGAGAACAATTAAGCGTTTTTTTAACTGTATCTACGGCTTTTATCTTTTTCGATGTTATTTTTAAAAAGTGTGTTTTTCACTTTACACTTTTGTAAAAAAATTGTATTTTACACTTTTCACTTTATCTTGTAAACAAATTTTGTTAATAAATGTTGTTATATTTTTTCAGTATTAATTGATGCCCTCTATCTATAAAGATCTTTAAAGTTCTTTTTATATAAAAAAAAAAAACAAGTATATTGCTGAATCACATCATTGGCCTCGATTTTCGTAATGTTTATATGCTAGTCGATTCATAATATTTACAATTAGTCAATTAGCAAATAATCCTTTCCAATTTCAATTTTTTCAGGTGTGATTCAATTAACTAGATCTTGTGGAATGGAAGGTTTCAAAAACACCAGAAAGGGTACTAATATTGCAGCACAAGCTACGGCCATCGGCATGAGCACGGTATTTAGTATTTACTAAAAATTATAATATATCTTTATATAGTATTTTCTATACAAACATTATATTAATAATGAACATTTTGCTGTAGAGAGCTCTAGCGAGAGGAATCAAACAAGTGAGAGTACGCATTAGTGGTTTGGGTCCAGGCAGAATGGTAATTATTTAAACATTAAGCGGTCAACTTAATGTTAACTGAGATTGCTAATTACCTAATTATATTAATAATAGAAAGATTTAAGGCGTACATTTAGGAATATATAAGAAATGTACACAAAACGCCAGAATTCTCCATCCAATTCAATCGATTTTATTAACACGTTTATCGTCTCGATAATGACAGAAAAAAATTCAAATGGGCTATAGTAACTTTATTAAATGTCAGTCTTATATGTCTGACGCATCCAAACAAGGTACAACAAATATTAAGTTTTGTTTATTTAATATTTATTTTTTATAGTTAAGTTTAAAAAAATCTCAAATGAAATTTTTTATATATTTGTACGTTCCAAAGGTTGCTGAATATTTTGGCATACCTTACAAATAATATATGTATGTGTGTGTGCGGATACAAATTTTACATCGACGATTTCGGGAACACAGATCTACCGATTTGAATAATTCAAAAACATTCGATTCGTATTGATAAGGAGACGTGCTGATTAGATTTTGGCAAAGGCAGGTCTAGCCGTTTCGAAGATACGAGACAAAGAGAAATAAAGATGGTAATTCAGTTTTTGAGAGAACTGAGCGTTCAATTTGAATAATTCGAAAAACATTTTACTTGTATTGACAAGATGAAGAACTTATTAAATTTTTGGGAAGGCAGGTCTAGCGGTTTCGGAAATCTAGTAAAACATATGCACATCGAATTATCAGATATTTAAGGAGATTTTAATAATACGTATAAATTTTGTTTACATTTCTATGCGTTCCGTAACATCGTTTGTCCGTTAGACTACGACGCGGCGTTTACGCGCTTCGATATTTCGTCTCTATTGCAACTGAAGCAGCGCGATGACTCTGAAAAAATGTTCAAAACATTTCGAAATATAAATATTTTTTTTTGTTGAAAGTTTTTTATTCAAGAAAGTCAATTTTCTTCAAAAATTTAAAATTTCTCAAAAATCTAATTTTTTCAAAGTTCAAAAAAAAATTAATCTTTTTTTTAAAAAATAATTTTTGGTACGGGGAGTTCCAGCAATTTGCCTTAAGGCACGATGCCATACACCACTAGTTCCTGTTTTGAATACAGCGTTGAGCGCATTGTGTAGAAATCAGTTCTTATTGTTTGTAGTAAGCAGAGAAATTTTCAGGTTTTGCTCCTGATAGGCTAAATTTTCAAAAAAATTGTGATTGGCGTGGCCTTTCTACCAAATTTCGTATGTCAGATATATATGACCAACATGGCTTATGTAGAACTTCTTCGCGTCAGACATATATGACTGACATGGCGATTAACGTGCTAAAAATACATAAGTACTATGTTTAGTAGATAGTTTGGAAATCAATTGATGTTTTTATCAGGATGTCCACTCGTGTGGAGTAATTGCTTATAACCTGGATTAATAATATATAGTCCTTTTATTTTCATTGCATTGTCTAATTGGGCTGATTTTATGTTATGTTTAAAAAAACGATGTTATCATAACTGCCTCTTTGAGATATGGCTTGATAACATATGGGTGAAGTTGCATTTTATGTGTAAAACGCAAAGCAAATACATGGCAATTTAACAGTAGTACGATTTTGTATGAAAACTGGAACGTAACATAATCTTGCCTTGCCATTGGTCTATTTCACGGCAGAATCGGCACATAAATTTCTTATATAACTTCGTACAAATTTCTACGAGAAATGTGACTTTTATTATTGCAAGAGGAAGCACAATTTTAATGTTTTCCAACGGTACAGTCGTTGAAAGAAGAAACGATTGTCAATATTTCCGTTCGGTTATTATATATATATATATATATATATATATATATATATATATATATATATATATATATTCCGTCTTCCTCTTACGATTTTGCATCATTTTCTTGTCAAGAATACAAACATGTTATGAATTGGTGTTCATTGTTAAATACGAGGCCCCGTAACATAGCGCTTCACTTTGGAGACAACTCGAAAAAAGTGTCAAATAAGTCAGTTTAGCTTATGTTTACAAAAATTTACTTAACCATAATAGAAACATAGAAAAACAATAATCACTCACCTGTATATATAATACACCAGGAAATAAATGCAAAAGTTCCTCGTGTTTTTTTTTAACATTTCACCACACAAATTCGATTTTTGTTCGTCATTTAATAAAGTAACTTTTCACTAACACGCGGTACCTTGGGCAATGACAACTATTTAATGATGGACACCTATAAACTTATGTATGCCAACATTATAAAAGTGAATTGCAGGATCTTAGAATTTATAAATATATTTAATAAATATGAATATGGTTGGCAATCTTAATGTTTTATTATTTAATCTTTTGAAAATCTAATATAAACAATTTCATGTGATAAGCAATCACTTGTAAATAAAACTTATTAAGTCGAAATTGCAAAAAAATAGTGTTCTATGATATATTTTATTCTTTTCTCGGATCTAAGATTTTTGACTTGCAATATTTTACCAATCGATTTGCATGAGTACAAATAAAAATATAACATATTTACAGTCATCCATCAAAGGACTCCAAATGGGTGGATTGGATATAGTTTCAATAACTGACGCCACTAGAGTATCATGGAATCCACCACGACCAAGAAAACAAAAGAAGTTGTAGATACGCATTTGTAAAAATTAAGCATAGAGAATAAATGTTATTACTATATTACGAATACTTTCATTTATAATATCACATAAGTCTGCTTTTATTTATACAAATTCAATTGTACTTCATCAAGAAACAAATGTTCATACGGAAAATAGAAGTCATAAAAAATATTTAAGTTAATTGGTATCAGCTTTTCCAAGTTGAGAAGATTTAAGAATGATTTATTTAAAATACTTTCAGTTCAGGTGATATGTTGTATAAATATAGGTAAGGCATTTGTAAACTTAAATTTAGAACAGTTGAATAACTTACATCACACAGATCAATTTAATAAAAATTAAATTATTTTTTTAAATTTGCGAGAACCGCCGCTTCGTAATTCGCAGAAAAATTTAATTGTTTCCACTGCTTGTACTTCTGTTAATATAAAACAATAATTAATTTATGGATTGTTAGTATCAGTCAAAAAAATAAAAACAGCATTTTTGTACTAAAACGTACCAATATATTGTACTTCATTTTAGCAGCACACAATAATATAATACATCACGTTGTAACACAATAAATTCTCTTCATGACAGCAATAAAATCTAACCATCCCATGTGCACTTAAAAATATTTTAGTACAATGTATATTGAATAAGATGTAAGCGATACCTTGAAGGGATGTCGCATTGAGAATTTAGGTGTAGAAAATTGCAATAGCATTAAAATATACCATTTGAATTAGATTTTTAAATAATACCAAAACAAATCATAAATTAAATTCTTTCGTAGATATTCATACATAAATATTGGCTTTCCAGAAAGACAACAGATTTCACATTCACTCCAAAATTAATGAGTTATTATATAACAAATTTTTAAATAACTTATATACAAACACTATGCACAAGTGTTGATGATATATGACCTTAAAAAATAATTAAATATTGCGCTTAAAAATCAAATTTACATACACATTTACCCATTCTATCTCTAGAAAACTAGAACAGATATTCTTATGAAAATTTTGCATATATAAAATATCTCAAAGTTTTGAACCATCTTCATAAATAGAAATACCGTACAAAGTTAATAATAAGCAATAATTAAATTATCATACAAACTAATCTTAATTACAATGTAGCCTGTGTTTGAGGTGCAAGTACAACTAGTACATAAATAAAACCAAATCTAGACATAAATGATTAATATGTACATAGATCTATCATGTACTATTTACAGGAACCTCAGTCTTCACGTAATATGATAAATTCCTCTTCGAAACACAACTTTCAATGATAACAATTGCAATATTTTTTTGAGTTAGTATCAAATTATACCACAGATTAGGGTAGTGTATCAAACAATATGTCCTTGGCTGTCGTCGTTAATGATTCTGGGAACTTAATTTCAAATGATACTAGCAGATCGCCTCTCCTTGATGATTCCTTGGGGAAGGGAAGACCTTGCCCTTGAATCCTCTTCACAGTATTGGGCTTGATGACCTCATTAGCTGTGTTAATCCGAATAGAATCGCGACCCATTGTGGGTACTTCGATCACTGTTCCGCATAAAGCCTAGAAATAAAGAAATATATCTTGTTAGTACATGTTGGTATAGTAGTCAATTTATGAATTGTATCAAATAAAATATATGCAACGAGATTAATTTGGCTTTACGTAGCAAATTGAAGTATATACAATGAATCTGTGCTTTTTTATTAGATACATGCAAAAATGACGAAGTCGACAACCTTTTATCAAAAATAGCCAGAAAAAAATCGTAATATTCAATAAATTATTAGCAACGATGGCTAGAACTAATTTTAAAAAACAATGTTTAAAAAAATTCTATTAAATTTAATATTCAATGGATATTGTATATTGTTTGTAATATATTATTTACAAATAATGGGCGCTTTAATATTTCGTTATTCTTCAATTACGTAGAACTACAAGATAATATAAGTTTCTAATACAAAAAATAAGGTTGGCCGTGTATTCAAATTCCTATTGAATTAGAGCAGATTATAAATAACACATGTATATCATATTAGTACAGGGGGATTCATCTGTTTAAATTTATACTGATTTCTGGTACAAGGCCGATCGATCGTGTTATTGAGAAAGATTATTTTAGTGAAACATTAGTACATTAACGTAATATTTTCAATAATTTAGTTCTCAAAAATTCAATTTAAATATTAAAATCCGCATACATGATTAAAAGAAATGTGATTAATATATATATACAGCTGAAACAGCACTTTTTTACAACGTATTAATTTTTATGTCTGTCCTGAAATGGACAACAAATAAAACTGTAGAAAAAAATGACTTTGAAAATACAAAATTATCTGATCATTGTCAGAGATTTTGAAAATGGACGTATTTTAATGTAATATGAATTTCTTTTTAAATCTTGCCCTGGTTGTGTTTGTGCTGAAACAGCATTTCGGGCGTATATTTTAATCACAAACGCAAAGAAATTACTAGAAATGTTCTTGATTAATCAGTCAAGGTCAAGGCTAATGATGTACTGCAAGCTGTGTTTATCTTTATATCATCGTATTCATTCACAAATCCGAGTATTCCAAAGTTAACTAGGCATAAAACAACAAATATTTTTACGCTAAATTAGCCAAAGCGGGGAGTGGAAACAATCTAACTTCTACGTAATCATTTATTCAATTCTGGTATGAATATATTATATTTGAAAATTGATATTATTGTCTAACAACTGAGTACATTGAAAATCAAGTAACCAAATATGCAAAAACGAAGGAGATACCATTCTTCACGCTAATATAACAAATAGCTGTTCCTGATGGTAACGATTTCCAACACGTTTGCCCGATTTAACATCATTAACAAATAATCTGAAGTGATTTAAACATATTTCAATAAAGAGGCCGTATCCATATATATATATATATATATATATATATATATATATATATATATATATATATATATTCGATGTCATTGTGTTCAATTCTGGTCTAAATTGCAAGATCGGCATAACGTAACGCGCGCCTTTTCGGGACAATTGAAAAGTTGACGTCAACATGTGAACCGATGTACGCCTCCATTCATGTCAAATTAAGAAAAAAAAACAAATGACAATGATTTTATCTCGCAAATCAAATACTTCATACATTGCTATCTAGACAAAATTGTAAAAAATAAAGAATAGTTTAAATACTAAAAAATCGACGAGACACATGTAGGAAAGGACATATAACTTGATACAGTAAGATGATTTATATAATTTTAATGGTTACCTCATTCGTATTTACATAGTAGTTAAAATTGATTGGCTAGAAGTGTAACCTGGGTAACTACTTAATAATTTTATTTAATAAATTCTACGATTATTTAAACGATGTGGTATCTAATATCAAATCAGATTATTACTAGTTCTGATCGTTCCTGATATCAGGACAGTACAAATAAAATGATGAAATAAATGAAAATATACTTATATTTTTTCCTTATACTTCGTTTAATGTTTACTGTTTTAGTTTATTATGTGTAATATGATTTCAAGGTATATCTGAAAAAAATCTCAAATATGTGAAAAAGCTGCAAAACCTTTATAAATTTTAAAATTGTTATAATCATATATACATCTACCTCAAGAAAAGGCAGAGATTATTACTGCTACTAATATAGTAGTTAATATTTGTTTTATAGTTTTGTGACTATGACTACATTATTGTAACTAATTTCATTGAGCATTTTCTCAGCGGATATTGCAATCTTAATAAAAAATTACAGTTCTTCAACTGTATTATCAGATCATTTGATGCATGAATGAAATTTAAATATTTTTTTATGGCTGAACAATTAGACATCTCTGCACAATGCTCGCACTTATGAAATGTGTGATAAAGACTTGCTAAACTGGCAAAAATGTAATTAAGATTAACGAGAACCATTTTCGTATCAGTTTTGTGATAATATGCAAAAAAAAACTTGTATGGCATAAAGACTGTTTGTGTTGCAGCATGAATATGTAGTTTTCTGGAGACTGAGTATAGGCTGTAAGACCAATAATAAAAGTATGGTTATAAAATACAAATCAATTAGAAATTGAAGCTGTCAGGTACATTAATGCAGATTAATTCATCATTGATATTTTACACAAAGCTGCTTTAGATAATGGTTCTTATCACTTGTATGACGTAATGCAAATAAAAACATCATACAAGCACTTTCAAAGCTTGTTAAAACAAAAGTGAAAATTTATCATATCACATATAATATATTGCACGTTCGAAATTAAACTCACCAATGATAATGTTCCAGACGAATCAAAAAGCTGACGCACACATGACATTGATTTTTATCTGTGGCTTGCTTTCCAATGTTATATTTAAATGCATTTCATAAAGTCAACAAAGAAAAAGGTTTATAAACAAAATTATCTATGAAGTCGAGATCATTCATAGGTCGGTTATTTAATAATCAAAAATGATCAATAAACATGAACTGAGATGAAATTTTACATCTTCATATCTACTTAATAATAAAACAATGCGTACTGTTAAAACGGTACAGTCTAAAAATGTGGGTGCGGTTCAATACCTTCTGAAATTCATTGATTTTTAGAGGCCAATAATATAATGTTCTTAAGTAAAATAATTACATATTGTAAACGATTTGTGTACAATTTAATACTAATAACATAATAATCGAAGGTGAAATTGTGTCTAAAAACGACCGCCAGTAAGATGAAAAAAAATCATTTTTCTCTGGCCACTGAACAGTGAGAGCAAAAACCGAACGATGTGTAAAAAGATGAAAAGCGTTGACGATTTCTCAAACTATTTTTAACCAACCCAGTTTTGGTCGGCAGATCGAAACTTGGCACAAGAACAGCAAATATATGTGTAACAAACTTTACCGAAATATAACCAACAATTTCGTACGAACAGAATTCGGGGTGGGGCAGGTGGTCTATGTTTAATTCACAAGCATTAGAGAAAGTCCTTGCGCCAAACAATAATCAATTATTTAATGTTTTTATATAGAAAATCAATACTGGTGGAATTTTTTTGCCACATTCAACAGGTTGTCATGAAATGGAACTGTTATTTCTTTGAAAATAATATATATATATATAATATATATATATATATATTTAAATTTAAGAAAAATTTAGCCGTTTCTCGTTCTATATATACTAAACATCTGCACTTGTTGCTGGTTCATTCACGGTAGAAAATTATCAAGTCTGAAGTATTTTTGGTAAAATTTGATCAATTTTGGTAAAAAATTATGTTGAAATGTAGATCTTAAAAATCACGAGCAAGGATTTGCAAAGAGTCAAATTTAACATAACAAAGAGTCAGAGATTATATGCGTGCAAATTAAAATGCACTCATCCCCCGCTTTACACGGAAGATAGGTTCCATAAAAAACGTGTAACTCTAAAAAAAACTTTTATAACTATAATCATTATAAAAAATTCCTTTCTGTTAGTTTTCAAAATGATGAATAACTAACACATTGAACTAAAATTAAATATTAATATATTTTATATCAAACACATTTAATAAATTATAAAAATATCAATTTATTTCAATAATATCATGTTAATTGCTCGTCTTGAATAAATTTACGATATCAATTATATATAAACACTAATTAAAAACATAGTTTAAAACAATGATACTCTTTGTTTTGATATTTCAAACAAACTAGCTTATACATACATAAAAATTAGTTTTGGTCATAAAACGGGAAGTTCTCATTTTATCTCGAAGAATTCGTAACTGTAACATACATTTAGAAGTGATGTATTTTGACAGTAAAAGAATGCAAATGCTATTGCAGATATAAGCAAATATAGTTTTGTGTTTATAATTTTGTGTAAATGCAAAATTAATAAATTCCGTTTAAATAGAAATTATTTTCAAACACCACGCAAGATCGAAAACGTGTATATGTGGAATTGATATAGGAATTGATACTATACGCACATATTTGAAATTAGTATTGATTTCAAACTAAACATTTTCACACAATTACTAATTATATAGACTAAAGTATATATTGAAAGTTAACTATACGTATAACATTTAGTATTCAATTGATATGAAAGAGAATAAATAATGTACACAAAATAATAAAAGCTAACAGTTCAATAAGGATAGTATATAAAAAAATCTTAGTATGCACTAGTAATTGTATCAAGTTCAGGAAAATGTTTCTCGGACAAGGTGTTCAAAAATAACAAACTCATGTAGTTTATTAGTATTAGTATTCAAAATAAAATAAAGATTTCTTTACAAATATAGTAAGCGATTTCTTCATGAATTGCTGTACATATGTATGCATATGTGGCGCAAATAGCTCACTCAGTAGCGTTCTCGACTCACACGCTGGAGGAATTCGGTTCGAATCTCCAGCAATACCAGAATTAAAAATATAAAATATTAAAGTAGGTTAAGAATTGTTAATTTGTAGGATACAAGAAAAAATTGTATTAAAAGTAAGAAGAAAAAAAACAATTTTAGTTTAGAAGATGAGAAGAACATATTGAGAAACAAGAAGAAGAATGAAAAAT